TGACCCGTTTGTGACATTCTGATACAAATGGTTATCTCTTGAATAAACAGCTCTTGCACTATTTTCAGTTATGGTTATATGTATATAATACATTGTTCTTATACATATAGTATTTCTGATATGCGTTGAGTTTGTTTGCCCTTACATAACAGTAGATATTGCGTTTAGCAGGTACATTTATGGAACGATTCGGACAGTTGCAAGAATATTATTGGCAGGAATACGTCGAGCAGCTGAGCGCCTTGCACCACCCTGAACAAATCGATACCAGTGATCTAGCGCTAGCTTTAAGGTACGCATTTTTTCTGTCTTAACACTATTTAATATTCTGCCAGAGAAAGCATGCAACATGCAGGATAGTAAAGAATGATGTCATGGATAAAAGAGTCTAAACAGAACTTTATCTTAAAGTTGCACGCAGCGACAGCATATATAACAGTGAAACCAGGTTTTAACTGATCGTTAAGGTCTGTAACTGATGAAAATATCTCGTTTTTCATAATCGTTTATCCTTCTGTACTTTAGTCGATGCTCGCCCCTCAGGAGGTTCAAGCTTCTATAAAATTTATTGAGTGTAAAGTTATTTAGTACCTTCAAAGATCATTATACCTCGCAAATAACTACGTAAAATATCCAGCAGGAAGAATGAGTTGGATTTAGTGTATCCAAAGAAATAAAGCGAAAGGATAGCCATTGATATTCAAGTCAAATGATGAAGAAATGAAGACACTAACGATGGTGACACGCGCATTGCATGATATGAATAAATCCGTAGCGTTATAGAGGTTTTATTCGCTGAGTAAATTCCAGTACAACATGAAATTACTAGATAGGAGAAAAGAAGAAGCAGTTTGTAATCGCTTGATTATTGGTCTCCTGTAGACTTAGATGATTTTTAACCCTTTTAGTCATGGAACATGCTTGGTGGGAAGGGCTGATCTCCATGAAGATGCCGTCAGTCAGAAGTACCATTTATTTTTGAGGACAATATCTGTAGCATCGTGACTGCAGTCTCGTATCCTTTTCAACTTATTGACACAGCTTATCTGCCTCTGAAGGATGGAAGCCACAATATCAATATGGGAATTTAACTCGCAAACCTTTGGCTACTTATCTGGCGCAGTATCATCTGAGCTACCTTGCTCACACATTACTACGTCACAGTGGAGACAGCTTGCAGAAGCGCTAACTTTCACTTGTCTATTATGAAAATTACTACACAGTTCATTCAAACGCAATCCTCTGTCCGCAGCTTAAATAAAGCTATGCCACTTCATGTTCTCGTACGAAATGAAGCGGAGAGTGTCATTCCTGGCTTCTAAATTTGTAGTTATACTATCATTTTCCTCAAAGATTAATATAATAGCCATGGCGAGATATATCAAAATCGGATCAGATGGCCGCCGTTTCGAGTACCTCTCCGTTAGGAAGGAAGCAGCGGGCTACAAACTGTGCCACAGGTAGCTCAAGATATTGCCTTCACAAAGAAGGCAGTCTTGGCTAGTGGCGGCTATCAGCGTTACACCGCAAGCTTGAGGAATAAGAGAAGCTACAGATGGTGTATATCATGGCAGTGTAACAGAGACCGATATCCAAACAATTGTTAACTTTACTTTCCTTCTCTTCTTTTTCTGAGTCATTAGCCGATCATATCTAATTCGTAGCAGATGCTCACGATGCTACTGTTTGCATGAAGAAGAATGTATTCTGCCATACATTGCCCATACATGGGATACTTTCCTTTTACGGAACTCTCCGTGAACTGCATTGACCACGGGCTTGATTTATGGGCGGTAGGTGATACACGAAGCTTATAAGTTTTGGTAGTAATACATTCTGTTACGTTCTTGAATACATCTTCAGAAATATAGTAATGCACAGGTACAACATTCGTTGCTTCGGAAAAAACTGGAGTTTCTACTACTGATATATTAATCTCTTATATATTGCCGTTTTAGCAAAAATAACTTTGTTGTACGGATATCTCGTGAAAGCAACTCAGAACTTCGAATGATATTCGCTGGGCTGTCGTTGGTACCTCGAATCGTCAAATCGAAGATATTGTTAGAATGTAGATGCGTTTAAAATTGCAGCTCTTTTTTGACGTATCAGATTTTAGTGTGCGACTCACCGGCGCGATCAAAAGAGATAGTCGAGACCATGAGTGGCGGCATGCTGGGCGAAGCGCCCATGATCAGTAAAATTGTTTTGAGGGATGTTTGTTTCGCAGTTGTAGTAGCCGTTTGAAATATAGGCAACAGACCGAAGATCTGCTTTGGCGTCTTTCGAGAACAACTGCTGTTCGTAAACGATGACGACGATGCCGGGACGGCTGCATCTGCTGCAGCAGCCGCAGACGACAACACCGAGTTCAACGAGCTGAAAGAGAAGCGGAAAAAAATCAAAAGCAAAGACTCGATTTTATCCAAGAAGATCAAAAGTGACCCTAATGCTCCGCAATGGACTCGTATTCCTCTTCCGGAAATGTACGCCAGACCAAATTTATCTTTATTTTATATTTTGTCAGGTTTAACGCAGCAGTTTGTTCCTAGGTTGATTGTCATACTACATATACTACAATGCAAGGGTATATAAAGTACTGAACGATTTAGTAGTGTAACCACAAAGTAAGCAACTAATCAGCGTTTCAGTCTGATTCTCAAGAAATTCACTGTAAAACATTTGTCGCTGGATCGGATCAAGCCATTTAGCTTTACAGAGCAGAAACCTTTTAGAATACAAACCAGTTTCATGAATGGCTTTTTGATTTGAAATTTGTACCTCGAAGAACGTCATTATCATAAACGCAGAACGCATTTTGACAAATTCAAAACAACTCAATCTGAAAACATAAATCGCCTGTATTACATAATGCCCCGCTTGCAATTACGTGTTACGCGTCAATAATTGTGCGTGTGATTCAGCTTCCACTGAAAGCTGAAGATCGGATCAGCTTTCACTGACTTCACATGTGCTTCTGACAGTTTATTACGATATGAACTTTAGTTGAAATCGATCAAGATGCAGAAGTGGCGTAGTGCCGTGTTTCTGTTCAGTTCGGTATTAAGCAACGGAAGGTTCGAGTATGTTTTGGCAACCTAGTGAATTCGGTGAAGGCATTCAACAGTGGCTTGCAGCAAGGTTCAACGGTGACGTCTTTGC